TATGGCCATGACCTGAGGCGTTGGCACACACGGAGGGAAGGGGACGGAAGGGAGAGGGAGGGGTGTGAGAGAGAGAGAGGGAGGGATGGTAAGATGCAGGGAGGGATTCAACGGGAGATGAAGCAACACGTGCAATGCAGCAGAGGCCACACACGAGCCAGGGCATGGGGCCAGTCATGAAGCGCTCATCTTGTGTACGCTCAACCCTGCTGTAGCCTTACACACTCTCCTTGCAGGCTCACACTCCCTTGAGTTCTCACACTGTGTCGAAGGCGTGCGAGGGAGATGGAAGCAGTGTCCACTCGGTCGATGAGGATGCGGCCACTGGTTGGCTCCACCAGGCGGAAGAACGCCAGCATTAGTGTGGACTTGCCCGCTCCTGAGGGGGTGGTGGGTGGAGCGGGGGGGAGGGCACGTCAGCATCAGGGGGTTCAGATAGGTGTGGGAGGTGGGTTACCGCATTATCACTGACGTGGCATTCACTTCCTGTTTCATGGCATTCACTGGTTTGCTTCGGCCCAACACAACAGACTCAGCTCGTCCCTTGGATAGGCCTTCAGTTGCCTAACAAATCATCAGGGATACAACACTCACCAGTGCGCCCCAGGCACTCACCAGTGCGCCCCACGACGCCGCACTTCTCCCCTCCGCGCAGTTGGAAGGTGACATCCTGCAGCACTGGCTCCAGCCCGGGGCGATACCGCACCGTCACCCCCTCCACACTCACCGCTCCCTCACTCGGCCACTCACCCACCACCTGCCGCTCCTCTTCCTCTTTCCCTCCCCCTGTCCCCTGCTCCCTCGCCTCCTTCCACTTGGCGCAATATCCAGCAGCTGTTATCCTACTGCCATAGCTTCTTTCCAAGCCACTGCCTCCTCCAGCTCCTTGGCTCCCCTGTTCCCCCTCCTCTTGGGGCAAGTGTGTGTAGTCAAGTGCGCGCTCAACTCCTGTGAACTGCAGTGACGGAAGGAGAATGGTGATGGGGGAGAAGTGGGAATGAGACATTGGAGAGAGAATCTGTATCACTGCAGGCTTCTGCAGAGTTCAACCCATTTTGTGAATCGCCACTTAACGGAAGCAAGCTGGAAGGCACAAGTGAAAAACAATGGGAGGAATATCAATAGAGCTGTGAGCTCTCCTGGTTGTAGGAGGCAAAATAGGAAAGGATATCGTACAAAAGGAGAACAGACGAAAGGAGAATAGAACGAAAGAGCACAAACCCCCACACCACCAGTCGTGGCCAAGACAGCCCCATGAACATTCGAGTGTCTGACCATGTTTTCGGTCTCCGCCCCTTGCCGCACTGCCCACTGCAGTCTCTCCGAGAGCTGCAGAGTGTAGCTGAGCGCCAGAGCCACCAGCCCCGGCGACAGGGACGTTCGGAGAGCGACGGCGAGCGTGGCGACGAGCAGCACGAAGAGCGAGACGATGGCGTCGAGGCGGAAGGCGAGCCAGTGCGAGGCGGCGAGCCAGCAGTAGAAGGCGCGGCCGTTGGCGTTGAGCAGCCGGTGGAAGGCGCCCTCCGCCTGCTGCTGTGCTCCAAACGCCCGTATGGTCGCCAGGCCCTGCAAGACCGGTGGGGTGGGGCGACAAGGGAGGCGCATTTGGGGAGGAGGGCATGGGGTTGACGTGTGGCGATGGCGCGAGGACTCCAGTGTGAGCACAGCACAGCAGTACGCATGATTGCGGGGAACGAAGGGGATTTGGGTGCATCTGTGATGCGCTCCAGCCCCTTGGAAGACTAGCAGTGAGGTGCAGAGAGGATGTAGCAAATGGGAAAGAGGAGGAAGAGGAAGAAGATGGTAAAAAGGTAGAGGACGGGACTAAGAGGTTGATGAGGGTGACTCAGATAAAGAGGCGGAACGGAGGAGAGAGGGGGGGGGAGAGGGCTACCTGGATGGTGGCAGCATAGTGCGCGTAGACAGGGCTGCGAGTGACAGCCTCGAGCCTCTTGGCCTCGCGGGAGGTGCAGAGGAAGATGTAGCGCAGGCGCAGGAAGAGCAGGCTGAGAAAGAGCATGGCGATGAGGACCCACGGCACGCCTAATGCCACAATCACTATTGCGGCGCCTGTTAGGCTGAGCGTCTGGGGTGAAGGAGTACGAAGGAGGGGAGGAAGGGAGGGCACGGAACACCTCAGAACAAAGCAATAGGGAGAAACGATGCACGGCACATCTAGAGGAGGTAGTTGAGGAGTGTCACACCTGAACGAAGTTGAAGAGTGTGAGTGGCAGCTGGTCGTCCAGGATGCCCTGATCAGCGGAGAAGCGGTTGAGCACGCGGCCGATGGGGTTGGCGTGGAAGAAGGCAAGCGGCGAGCCCAGCACAGCCGCCAGCATGGCGGCGTGGATGCGAGAGGCAGCGCGCACGCACCACCGGAAGAAGAGCACGGAGCGCACGAAGGAGACGGCGAATCCTGTCAGCACAATGGCTGTGAAGATGGTGCGGTAGGGCCCTGATTGGTCCGTCTTCTGGGACCAGAAGGAGAGGAACCTGCAAGCGACAAGGGGGATTTGGAGAGCAACGAATAGCATTGGACAGTGGCATGACGTAGAGAGAGGAGAACGAGGGGAGACACGAGATTAGAGAATAGCGACAAACTTGTGTCTCGCAGATAAGGTTTGTGTGGGAGGATAATGAACAAAAACAAAAACAAAAACAAAAACACTAGATATAGCTTCAGAACGTACCTTGACGACTCAAACTAGCAATACGAGGGTAGAGGGTACTGACCAGTCGCCAGCACAAGCGAGGATTTGCCCGAGAGCAAGGAGGACAAGGAGCAGCAGCGACCGCAAGACACCGACTTTCTTGGCGTATCCCAGATACACTCCCACACCAACCATTCCTGCCTCCTTCCCCTCCCTCTGCACCAACCCTGTGAGAGAATAAGAGAACCGAAGGAAGAAAAAGGGAAATTGAGTGGCAGTGAGAGGCCTGGCTAAGGGTATCGTTTCCTCGAACTCGCCAACTTTACTCTCGCTCGCCCACTACCCCATTTCCCACACTCTTTCTCATGCACACCCTTTTCTCATGCACACCCTTTTCTCATGCACCCTCTTTTCTCACACGCACACATTTCTCATGCACACTCTTTTCGTACACGCACACATACTCCTTTCCTATTTTACGCACTCTCCTGCGCACACTCCCCCCTCCTCCCCACCATCCCACCTTCTCCAGCACCTTCATCCACCATGCCCTCCCCACCGCGCAGCCGCCCACCCTCTCCACCTTGATCCCCTCGTATCCGGTGCACAAAGCTGCCCATGAGGCTGTGGCTTCGCGTCAGCTTCCTTCCATGGGGCCCATGCTGCAGCGGCGGGTCGCACTTAGTGAGCTTGCGAAGGCGGTGCAGCAGCAGCACTTGGAATGAGGGATCTTCATGTGAGGGAGGAGGGGAGCCTGAAGTCTGCTGGGTGCTTTGATGACTGCTGCCTCCTCCGCCTCCTCCTCCTGCTGCTGCTTCCGTTGTGGAAGGGGTTCCAGTGACTTCAAGTGAGGCTGCAGCAGCAGTCGATCCGTCAGAAGCTGGTGTGGTGCAGCCTTGTTGGATCCAAGGGCTGTGCAGAGGACCCGGTTCTTGAATGCCATTGATGCAACGAGGAACCTCAGAGCCAGCATCGGCATGAGCAGCGTCACCATAGTCATCACAATCACCATCACCATCACCATCACCATCACCATCACCGTCTGTAAACAAACACTGGTCCTTCAATCCCCCTCGAATGTCCTTCACTCCTCCTCTGCCTCCTCCTCCTCCCCCTCTGCCCTCCCCCTCATCCACGCCACCAGCAGCCAACGAGCCATCCATCTCTCTCGCCCCTCCTCCCTCCCCCTGCTCCTTCCCCACCCCAACGTGCCCCTCCCCGTCATCTCCCCCCAGCAGCCCTTGAAGCTCCACCTGTGAGGCCAGGGTATCATACGGACCCAGCGCCACTGCCCTGCCACCTTCCAGCACCAGCACTCGGTCACAGCTGGGAGTGGGGGGTGTTGGGAGGGGGAGGGGGAGTGGAAGACAGGGGAGCGAGAGGTAAGTGAGAGCAGTGCGAGCACAGGATCACAACTGGGGAGGTGACAGTGGAGAGAAAGAGGTGCCAGGGACTTCAGTCAGAGGAGGAGGAAAGGGGAGACGAAAAGGGAGAAACGAGAAAACCAAGAGCCATAAACTTCATCAGCAGCAGTAGCAGCAGCCATAGCCGCAGCACCAGGAGCCGCAGCAGCAGCGTTAATCTCCACCCGCGCCCCCTCACCTGTGCAGGTAGTGCAGGTGGTGCATGACAAGGATCCGGGGCCGCCCCGCCATGAGCCCGAGGATGCAGTGGTGCAGAAGGTGGGTGCCCACGGCGGCATCCACAGCAGCCAGCGGGTCGTCCAGCAGCAGCAGCGCCGCATCCCTGGCGTACGCTGCTCGCGCCAGCCCCACGCGCGCGCGCTGCCCCCCGCTCAGGTTCACTCCCCTCTCCCCAAACTCTGTGAGGTCGCCCCTCGGCCAGCTCGCTATGTCCCGCCGCAGCGCACACGCCTCCAGCACCTGGGGCAAGCAGCAGAGCACGGGAGGGAGCATGGGAGGGACGGAAGGGAGCATAGGATGGCGGTGATGGGAAGGGTTGCTGTTGATCGGAGCCTTGAGAAAAGGGTTGGTTAGATGTGGGGGAGGGAGCGCAGACTCAGTAGTGCATGGGTGTGAAGGAAAGGCGCGGTGACTGGGGTGGGTGGGGGGAACATGGAGAACCAATCATTCATTATTACCCTGAAGGTGTTCAACAGAGGATTACAAATGGGATATGGGGGACATGGGATGGCGCTAGCTTTAAATAAAGACTGGAGCCCACACTGCTGGGAAGGGTCACCTGGTTGTGGAGGTGAAGGGCTAGTCACCTGGTCGTAGAGATGCTGTTGAAATGGACGGCCAAAGATGATGTTATCCTTCAATGATCCTGCCATGATGAACGGCTGTGATGTATGCACAAGCATGGCAGTAGCTCACATGCAGCAAACCACCACAGCCACAACATGCATGCAGAATGACGGAGAAATAAAGAACCACACACATGCACACACATGCACACACATGCACACACATGCCAACCACCAGAAGAAACACAAAGATGTGACAGGCAAAGTGAAGACAGGGAATTGAGCAACGAATGGAGACACTAGGAGTGAAGTTTGTGAAAGTTTTGATGACCACACGAGCAGTGAGAGTTAGCATTGCAACAGGGCTGGCCATCATCTTGCCTTGCTGCCGTGTGTGCATGCATGCATGTCCAGCCATATGCATGTGGTGGTGTACTCACATGCATGTGTGCGCCTCTCTGCATGTGTGCATGATCACTGTTGCCACCATGGCCCACGCCCCCCATGCCCCGTGCCCCCCGTGCCCCCCATGCCCACTCTGCCCACCACGCCCACCTTCTGTGCAGCGTATGCTATTCTCCCGGCGCTGCACTCCAGCCGCCCCCCCAGCAGCTCAGCATCGCCCAGAATGCCAGCCAGCAGCGCTGACTTGCCCGCGCCCACCTGGCCGCACACGGGATAGCACACGGATAGAGGACGGGGGGAGGAGAGGAGTGAACGGCGGGGTAAAACTGGAGGAGAACAAATGAGGAACGGAGGAGATAAGAAGCCATCTGAGAAAACCTACAGTTGGTGAAAGCAAGATCTTGGCAGTACCCCATCCCATTATCTCCTCCGCTTCTCCCCCGTGCTCTCCACCTTATCATTCTTTCCCAGCCATAAACTCCCACCTCTGCTTTGTGGAACATACAACTACAGCATCCCGACAGCTGGATCAACCACCGTCATTCCTCTCTCTCTCCTTACCCGCGACTCCCCTACCACCTCCCCCTTCACCCCTCTCCCCCCTCTCCCTCGCGCACCTTGCCCGTGACACCCAGCAGTTCGCCCTCCCCCAGGCTGAAGCTCACCCCCTCCACTGCCACCACAACCTCCGCATCGCCCTCCCCATCCCCTCCTGCCCCGTCTCCTTCCCTACCCTCGCCTGCTCCTTTTCTTCCCAAGCCTTCATTTCCTTCTAACCCGCCATCTTTGTTATGATGCGTGCCCCAGTGCACAACCTTTCCATTCCCCCCCCTCCACCTCCTGCCCGCCCTCCCCGCATGGTCAGCAGCCCTGCCATTCCCATGCCACTTCTTCATCCCCTTGCTGCTGCCCCCCCTGGCCCCTGCCTCCTGCTTGCCCTCGCCCCCCTCCCTCCCTGCACCGCTCACTCTCCACCCAAACGAGGCGTTCACCAGCTCACACACGCTCCTTCGCTCTCCGCCCCTCTGCCCTCCCTCCTCGGCAGCAGCATCGCCACCACTAAGAGCAGCAGCAGCAGCATGAATCGCCTCTTGGTCCTGTTCCAGGAGTTGCTGCCCGCTCTTCCCCTCTCCTCCATTCGCCCCTCCTGCAAGACTGTATTCCTCTCCTCTGTTGCTGCTGCTCGGTAGCTGCAATCCAGATTCACGAGGGCAAAAGGAAAGGAGATGAAGGAGAGGTCACACAAAAAGAACTGAGAAAGGTAAGGGGGGGCGGGGAATACAGGCGGAGGAGATGGAGGGGTAAGGAAACGGATGACGCACTGACACTAGTGGTAGCTGCAGTTAACGAAGGGACAGGTTTAAGGTGCCTCAAACTATCGTGCGTGCGTGCATGTGACCGTGTCGCCTGTGTAGTCATAGCCACGCCACCTTCCAATGCCCAGTCCCATGCCCATGACCGCGCTCGTACAGCCGTGCCCAGCTACCCCTTCCTCCCCCTCTCTTTCGTCATCTCACCTGCATGAATTCCTCGAGCCTTGCAAAGCTCACAGCAGCCTCTGCTGTTCGCTCAACGCCCTTTGAGAAGAGCACACACATCCAAAAACGAGGCAGCTGGGAAAGAAGAGGGGGACGGGGGGACGGGGGTACGTGGGGCAGGGGTGTTCAGGTACGGAAGGAATGTGAGTGAGCAGGAGATGAAGTCGGGAGGAGAGGACCAAACGAGCTACCAGTAGCCCTCTGCTGTCCTCTCTACGCCTGTTGGGAAGAACACAGCCGAGGCAGCTGGGAGGAGAGGGGAGGGGTCTAGGAGACGAGGGGTGAAGGTGGAAGAGTCATCGGGACAAGACATCGGGGGGGGGGGGGGGAGGGGGGAAGGGAATCTGAGCTGTTTCTTGGCTTCAAACCCCCTTATCTGCAACCCTTTCAAAAGCGTCCAAGGAGTCACCTTTATTCTAATCCCTCCTCTATAGATCTCTTCAACACCCTTTATCCCCACCAACACAAATCCATTCTTCCCCGCATCCACCAAACCACACCCTCCCACCCCACTACCACTCCCACTCCCACCCCTCCCACAACGCCTCTCCCCCCCCCCTGATCCCCATCCCCCCGCTCCGCCACGTTTCCCCCACCTGCACGAGTGCAATGACATAGAACACGGTGGAGGGCTGAAGGTGTCCCCCCTGCAGCGAGTACGTGGCGAAGATGAGCAGCGCCACTAGGGACGACCATGCAAAGTACGCCGCCTCGTTGAACGCCCGCATGCATGCCGCTCGCTCTATGCTGTTATGGGAGGGGGCGGCAGGGGCAGGCACAGGGGAAGAGGCAGGGGCAGGAGCAGGGGCAGGGGTAGGGGCAGGGGGAAGGGGAGGGACAGGGAGAGGGGCAGGGGGGGAGGCAGGGGGAGGGGCAGGGGGAGGGTCACGTGTGGGAGGAGCAGGGACAGGGGGAGAAGAAGCGTTAGGTGCAGGGATAGCAGAGAGGAAATGGAGTGAGATGCCTTGTGGTGTGGGATGTCTTGACTCGACGAAGAAGAGGAGGAAGAGGGCCGCAGAGGAACACCATGCGGAGGCTTGTGGCAGCACGTACTTGGTGCGCTCGCGGTTGCGAATGCTCTGAATGAAGGCGGAGAAGGGTGCCTCCCATGCAAACATCTTCACGGCGAGAATGCCGGACAGCACCTGACGGCACCACATGCCATGGAGCACAGGGGCACAGAGAATGGTTGTTGACGAAAGGGTGGAGATGAGATAGGAGTAGAAACGGAAAGTGCAAGGTGGTGCGGTGAGGCACGCCATGCAATGGGACCATCACACTCAGAGTGCCAAACCTAAGGTTATGAAAATTCAGGCAGGCAGTCATGAAAGCAGGTACCATGCCGCTGCAATCCCTGTGGGGCTGGCAGAGCGCAAAGTACTGACAGCACCTCAGCTCGATCATTCATTCCCAGTCGGCTCAGCTCCATCCAAGCGGCGTACCTCGCCAGTCATCTTCACCCTCGCATCCGTGAACTTGGCCGTTTTGAGCCGCAGCTTGGCAAACAGGTGGCCAAACAGAGCCTGAGGGGCGCAGGGAGGAGGCAAGATTGAAGGAGGGAACGTGGAAGGACGATGGTGAGGAGTGAGAGAGAAGGCACGAAGAGCAGGAGAAAGAGAGCGGCTCAGGAATGGAGGGACGGAAACGATGGAGTGACCTTTCGCCTTTCACCTATTGCCTTGTCATGGCAAAGCACGGAGCAAACACAGATTGTCGAGGTTCAGAGAATGCAAGTTAGGGCGAAGGGCTGGAGGCTTGAAGAGGGAGCAGGAAGGAATGGGAAATGCCTGGACAGGATGCACGTGCCATACTACATGCCAAGTGCCACGTGTAGAGAAATCAATGCCAGGAGCGCAGCAAGCCCGTAAATATGAAGGCCATTAGCGCCCAGTAGCCTGGCTCCCACCCACCAGCAAGGCCCCTGCGTCACATCACACCCCAGGCGCTGCATTCCACCCCCTCGCCCCGTGCGCCCCATGTCCCACATCACACCCCATGTCCCACACCACACCCCATGCTCCGCACGTCCCACATCCCATGCTCCCCACGTCCCACACCCCATGCTCCCCACGTCCCACACCCCATGCTCCCCACGTCCCACACCCCATGCTCCCCACGCCCCACTCCCCATGCTCCCCACGCCCCACTCCCCATGTCCCACAAGCTACGCACCCCGTGTGACCACCACCCCACCTGCAGGGGAATGAGGGCGAGGAGAGCCGCGATGCCAGCGAAGGCCGGCTGGGGCCCCACCTCGAGGGCTATGAGCGCCGTCACCACCACCAGCTCCAGAGGCGCCTGGGGGGGCAGCAGAGGGAGGGACGGGTTGGAAACAGCCAGAGACAGGTTAGGCAGGGAAGGATGGGCCGGGAACAAAGCACAAGTGCTCGAACATAGGAGAGGGAGGGAGCAGAGCAGTGGAAAAGAGGGGGCAGAAGAGGAGGCGAGAGGCGAGAGCAGAGCAGCACGCACCACCCAGAGGAATTGTGTGGACATGGGAACATACCGCCCAGAGGAATTGTGCGAACATGGGAACGTACCGCCCAGAGGAATTGTGCGAACATGGGGAGCTCGTCGAAGCGGCGAACGTCGTTGGACATGAGGTTGATGCAGTGGCCTGTGGAGATGCCACTCAGCGCAGCCCCGTTCAGCGACAGGATCTTGCGATACACTGTGGGCGCGGGCGGCGGGAGGGAGAAGTGACGGGAGTCGAAAATGGGCAGTTTGGTCAACTGCAAATGACTGCTGGCGCAGAGGAGGGCGGGAAGGAGGAGCCGGCAAGCGAGGTGTGGAGGGAGGAGGCGGGCGTTCCATGGTGAGCCACGGAGGGGCGAAGATGCTGATGGGGTGGGGATGAGGGTGGGGCTGCCCGCCATGCCCATCCCGAGCGCCACTGGAACAAAGAGCCAACTAGACACACGGTGAGATTCGAAGCGGGGCAGGAAAGGCCAGCGCGCTCACTGAGGGCCATGGAGGAGACCCTGAGGTTCCAACCGGCGATGTGCGAGAGCATCCAGAGCTGCTGGTCCACCACCGTGAAGCCCAGCGCCAGCACCCCCAGCAGCGCCGCCATCACGTACCCCCGCCAGGCGGGGCCGCCTGCCCCCAGGTCCTGTGCGTCCTGCAGAAACCGAATCTGCGCGCCAGGGGGGAAGAAGGCAAGAAAAGAGGGCAAGGGGGGCGAGGAGGAGAAGAAGTGGATAAGGCACCTCATGAAACACATACTCAGTTGAGGGGTGGACGGGCCCCGAGTGGGTAAGAGAGCACGATGCAAAGGGCGGGAGAGATCTGCCCATGGCGCCTCACGAGCTGTCGCAGCACTATGGCGGTGGCGATGCGCTGCCCCGACTGCAACAGCACCAGCGCCGCCACCAGCACCAGCCGCCACCTGAACGGCCACAGGCACGCCACCCAGAACCGTCCCTTCCATGCTCCCCCTCCCCTTTCCCCTCCCTCCGCCTTTCTCCCGTCTCCTTCCACGCCCGACTCCCCTGCCAACTGCTGCTGCTGCTGCTGCTGCGGGGTGCGCGGCGCCAGGAGCGCGGAGAGCTGCGCGCCCAGGTGCTGGGCGGAGAAGGCGGAGGGCAGCGGGTAGAGGTCGCGCGGGCCCAGCACCTGGCGCACCCCCACAGCCATCAGCGGGGACAGCTGGGGGCAGGGGGGATAGGGAATCGGAGTCAAGGGGGGCGGGAGAATGTGGGGAGAGGAATGGCGGATTCACGGCAAAAGCACCCGAGAATAGGAGGAAGAGAAGAAGAAGGGGGGCGCGGGCAGGAAACACAAGAGGAACCAAGACATTGGGAACCAGGGAATAGCGTGGGGGTTGATCGACGGAGAGGGAGGGAGCAGAAGGAAAGGTGGGGAGGGAAAAAGAGAGTGCACGAGGAAGGGCGAGGGTGTACCCATGACAGAGTGAGGATTGAGAAAATGCCTAGTTTCGGGTCCGCCAACCCCTCTTCCTCTTCCTCTTCCTCTTCCTCTTCCTGGACGGCTGCCGCTTCACCCCCAGAAGTATCACCGGCGTCCGCACCCCTGTGTGCCAACATGCTCGCCTCACTCTCCTCTTGCGGCGGCTCCTTGCTTTCGGCGGACGTCCCCACGGCCGGCGGCACCTCAGCCGCGTCCCCGCCGCCGCTCGCATCCGCCCCTGACGGAACCGACGACGGTGCCATCTCGTCGTTGCCGGCTGAGGGAATGGGCGTAAGGACATGATTGGATCGACATGGGCCGGACGATCCGAACCAATACGGAGTCGAGAAGAACTCATTGCTACTAGGAGAGTCGCCCGCGTCGCAAGCTATAATGTTGAGTGTCATGGCGTTGCCGATAGGAGTAGGCTTCGACAGCCAGACGATCGAGCGAGTTAAGCGAATGGACCATAGAAAACGCGGTGGCTCTTGGATTGAACGATCTCGTGAAAACAAGTGCGAAGGCCGAAAGAAAAAACTAATCTAAGGCCGACGTTACTAGTAAAGCCAAGGGAGAGCTGAGGGGAAAGCCAGTGCACATGCATTTCTTTGAGACCAGAAGCAGCAAAACAGGCAGTAAGCTGCGGGGACGTCCACTGTAGGCTTCTCGCGTCTTGCTGTCACACGACAGTCACAGTCACAGGTGGTGAACGGCTCTCCTTCCCAGTCTACCCATTCTCCAAGCTTAACAACTTCGCCTCGCGACCGCAACGCGATGCGGCGATCATCTCCGCCATGCTGGAATGGTTTGATAGCCGCACGGGCGACTGTTGGAATGCCTCGCTAACCATGACCTTTGCGGACCAACGCGGGCAGGAACACAGCATCCCGAAAATCCGGCCCAAATGAGCCACTCGATAGACCAGAAATTGCTGACTAAGGAATTGGAGGAGGAAGGAAAACGGTGAATGGAGGAAGGTGGGAGGTGAAGCAGGGAGTTGGGGTGATGTGGGAGGAAGTCAAACTTGGTCCCGCGCGTGTTCAGCAGAAAATCCAGCTCGGACTCCCGGCGGGTTCAACGGAAGTTTGGAAGAGTGTTTCCCGCGTAGGATTGCAATCACTTCTACATCCCCTTGTAATTTGCTTTGCCTGTCGTTGCATAAAAATAACAAGATAGTGGACACTACGGCTAATACAGTTCTTATTATTTCTAAAAACAACTGACAACCGGGATGGAATGTTTTGTGTGTATCAGTTCTTTTTTTTCTGGTTCCAAATCATTAGAACACTACAGTACATACAGACAAGAAGCATTGAAGCAGAACGGGTGTCAAAGAAGAGGTGATGCTGATGTCAAAGGATTCCTCCAACCTCATAAATGACGATGGCGAGCCTCAGTGTTCATGCCGGGCCTTCAATTTTCGGACATTTATATTGTTTTTTTTTCAGCATTACAATTCTATAAATGAGTACAGAAACATGTGGTTATTTTGATAATACCATTTGTATTGTAATGGTTTCTGAGCAAACAACAATTGTGAAGTGTTGCACGTGAACATTGGAAGTCGCACGCACTCAACGTCGGTGAGCGAAACCTGTACAGTAATTTAGCGAAAAGACAATATCAACGCCTAGGCCTTTCGGCTGAGGCGATTTTTGACCTCTCGCATGTAACACACGCTGTGCGCCGAAGTACACTGTGTCAAACATATCTTCATATGTTGTTATAGACTACATAGGATTGCGCTTTAGAGAGTACAACCCACTAGGTTATATTCCCTTGTATCCCACCTTTCTAGTGATTCGTTAACTTTGATATGGTATCATGAGTAGGTTAGGTCCCCCCTCCCACTAGCGCTTCCGCCCTAGGTCCTAGCCGTCCGTTCCCCTCTCACCCGTACTGGCCCGTCCCCTAGTGGCCCCCGTCACCTAGCCGGCCCCGTCGCCTAGCCGGCCCTGTAGCCCAGCCGGCCTCGCCTCCTAGCCGACCCCGTCGCCTAGCTGGCCCCTTCGCCTAGCCGGCCCCGTCCCTCAGCTGGCCCCGTAGCCTAGCCGGCCCCATCACCTCACCACCCTAGCCGGCCCCATCGCCTCGCCGCCCACAGCCCCGTCTCCTAGCTGCCTCGCGGCCCCCCTTCTCCCGTCCCTTAGCTGCCCCTGCTTCATCGGCCCTCTCCACCGTACGGCACCGCACTCCACCGCACTGCACCGTACGGCACCGCACTATACCGCACTGCACCACACTACACCGCTCTACACCGCACTGCACCGCACCCTACCATACTGTACCTCCCTCTACCGCCATCTACTGCATTGAACCGCACCGCACCGCACACCACTGCTTCCCCCCGCACTCTTACGCCCAGTACCGCCTTTCTGCTGCTGCAGCGACCATGATGGCGGACTCGGTCCTGCGCTTTGATGCGGAGGGGCAGCCGGTTGAGTTTGACTCGTGGCTCGTCAACCTCCAGCGACACCTGACTGGTCAACGGCAGGACGGCCACTCCCTGGCTGTCCACATCGATGGTACGCTCCCCTGAATTTACCCCCTTGCTTCTCTACCCGTTGACCCCACGTCTGCTAACCGTGAGTCCGCTGCCGCTGCTGCCCTTGCCCGTGCTGTCTGGTTGTTGCGTGACGCTGTCGCACATCTCGCGATTAGTCATGCCCTCCCCCTGTCCGAGCGCCACCGCTTTAGGTCGGTCAGGACTGTGCAGGAGTTCCTAGAGGCTGTTGTTCCATGCTATTCCACCCCGCTCTCTGCCTCCGTCGGTCGCCTGATCCTGCCCATGCTCTTTCCTGATCTCGCATCTTTCCCTACTTTCACTGAACTGGCCACCCACCTGCACACGCTAGACACAACCTGACGCGCTGCCTGCACTGAGGCCTAGCTTCGTGTGTTTCAGTCCCCCATCTGCTCTACCCTCTACCTGCTTTCCACCCGCCTCCCTGACCGCCTTGCCACCGCCCGCGATCACTTCCTTAGTCTCCACCCCGCTGACCTCACCCTCACTGACTTTGTCGACACCCTGTCTGCTATAGAGACTCGTCAGCGCTCTATCGCCCAGTTGAGCGGTACCGTGCCGGTCTCTATCTTTCAGGGCTGTGCCCCCGCTCAGTGCACTTACTCTGACGGTTCTGCTTATGTCGCTGAGACAACTCCTGCTGCGGAGACAGCCGCCGCGTCGCAGTCTCGTCCGGGTAAGGGTCGCCGCCCCAAGGCTGGGCGCGGAGGAGGTAGCGGAGGAGGGGGTGGTGGCGGTGGTGGAAGTGGCTCCACCGCTGGTAGTACTGACGAGGGGGCTGGGGCTGGTGCCTCGGATTAGCAGCCCCAGCAGCAGCAGCAGCAGGCGCCGCCGCTGGACCAGCAACAGCAGCCGCAAACGCCGCAGCAGCAGCAGCGGCAGGTCGGCCGTCTCCCCCTCGGGTGGCCTGGCGCCGGCAGTGGCGCTAGTCATAGTGGTCGTGTGCGTGGCGTGACGTCGAGTGGTGGTCAGAGTGACAGGCGCTGCAAGTACCAGCTCCAGAGCGGTCCTCGTCGCGGCCTCGTGTACAGTAAGATCGGCCATACCCCCACTCGTTGCTTCAGTCGACTAGACGACCTGTTTCGTTTCCGCTTCAGCCCGTCGCCAGACCTCCCCGACTGGCACAGTTTGCTCCGTCATGGTGTTAGGATCTTTGAAATGGACATGGATGAGATTAGCTCTGCTTTGTATGTGCTGTATATCGATGACTCTAGTGTGACTGGTTCCTATTACCCTATGTCGCCTAGTGTAGTTGTGCCCAGTGTGCCTAGTTCAGGCTCCCCTGCTGCGTTAGGCGTAGGATCCCCTGCCTTGTTTAGTCTTGGGTCCTCCCTCGCTCCTCCGACCCTTGTCGCCACTGCCCCGCTCTCCTTCCCCCTGGACTCCGGCGCTTCCCGGTGTTTCTTTCTGGACTCCACTACGCTTATACCGCTTGCTGCACCAACCGCAGTTGCTCTTGCTGACCCTTCATCCGGTCCTATAGTCGCCCGTAGCTCCACCACCCTTCCCTGTCCAGCAATTCCCTCAGGCTCCCTTACAGGCCTGCACATCCCCTCGTTCTCTAGGAACCTAGTTGGTGTCGGCTGCCTCCAGGACCTTGGCGTCACCACTACGTTCCCTGAGCACGAGCGGTACGCTGTCTGTACCGAGGCCGACATTGGTGCCCCCCTCACCACGTTCCCCCAGGTCCCGGTGTCTGACCTGTTTGCGCTGGACACCGTGTCCCCCCCGGTTGGGGCGCCTCCCCAGGTGGCAACATCTATCCAGGTTGCTGCAGCTTGCCCGTGTCGGTCATTTACTCACCCGTCCCATTTGTGGCACCACAGTCTAGGTCATCCCACCCTCACCCGTCTTCGTCACATGTCCCAGTACGGTCTTGTCTTAGCTGTCTCTGTGTTTTTCCCTGCGCTCCCCTCCTCACCAGCGCCGCCGTACACGCTCCGCGTCGAGGGCCGGCTCCGCCGTGCCCCTCACTCCTTCTCGTTCCCCCCCATCGCCGCACCGCTGCAGACCCTGCACATGGACGTCTGGGGCCACGCCCCCGTCCATGGCCCGCGTCGCGAGCGCTACTTTATAGTGCTTGTTGATGACTACACGTGCTACACCACTGTGTTTCCCTTGGAGCGGAAGGCTGACGTGCCTGACGTTCTTATCCCGTGGCTTGTCTCTGCGCGTGTGCACCGAGGTCTCCTTGTATTGCGTCGTCACTCTGACCACGGTGGCGAGTTCGCCTCTGGTTGTCTTGGTCGTTTCTGTCGTGCGGAGGGCATCACCCATATATACACTCTTTCGGACTCCCCGCAGCAGAATGGGGTCGCTGAGTGACGCATCGGTTTGGTCATGGAGTTCGCTCGTACCTCCATGATCAATGCCAGTGCACCCCATTTTTTGTGGCCGTTCACCATTCGCTATGCTGCTCACCAGCTTAACCTGCGGCCGCACCCTCTGCGGCCGCAGGTTTTGCCGACTCTCCTCTGGACCGGGTCCCCTGGTGACGCACCGGCGATCCACGTCTGGGGCTGCCTTGCTCGGGTTTGTGCCTCTGGCACGGACAAGCTCACTGCCAGCACCGTCCCCTGTGTTTTCCTCGGTTTCCCCCTTCGACTCGTCTGACTGGCAATTCTAGCACCCGCCGTCTCACCGCTTCTTTCACTCCCGTGACGCCACCTTTGACGAGTCAGCCTCCTTTTACCACCACTTTCTCCACCGTGGTCCCCCAGTTACCCCCCCCCTGTTCCTGGTTCCCCCTTCCCCGGTCGCCCCGGCTCACCCCCTCCCCTCCCTGCCCCGTCTGGTGTGTCTCACATCACCCCTCTCCCATCAGGTGTCCCTACCGAGGAGTCTGTTGACTCTTGCGGCTCTACGGAGTCCCTCCTCCCGCCCCTCCCCGCCCTGGTCTCTCCTTCCTTGTCGCCGCCGCAGCCGCCTCCGCCGCTGCCGTCGCCCACGTGGGCGCAACTGCCGTCGTCACCGCCACTGGGTCTCGTGCGTTCTGGGGGTGCTGGGGAGCGTGCTAGAGTGGGTGCTGGAGCGGATTCGCGTTCTAGGGGTGCTGGCGTGGAGCTTCTTGGAGGGAGCCGTGCTGTCGCTGGAGGTTCTAGTGTTGGAGTGAAGCAGCAGCCGCAGCAGACGCCGCCGGTGTCCGCTCTTCGCCTCCTCGGTCGTCCTTCCCCTGACCGCCTGTCGGTGCCTCCTTCGTCGCCGCCGCCTCCTCCTTCGCCGGTCTACGGCCGGGTGTTTCCTCCTCCGGACTCCTCTCCAGCTCCGTTCTCCTCTCCCCGTTCTCCTCCTGTGTCTCCTTCCCTCTCTCCTGACCCAACTCCTCCGTCTCACATCTCGTCTTGTCATTCGTCTCGTGCTCGTCCTATCTCCCCTGTTT